AGATGTGGTAAAAAGAAAATATCAAATAGTAGAAGAGAGAATGACAGGAAAAGAATCGCTACCTTTGCTGATTTATCTGTTCGTAACTATAAACATGACATGGGAATTTTTCCTACTATAAACTAGTCGTCAATGTTGGTGAACACTGGATAGTTTCTTTAGGTGAACTGGTCTTTATTGGCGGGTGACAAGAAGGTTTTCATTGCTTAATCGTGTACTGGTTAGCAGAAGATTTGAGAAGTATTGTTGTAAATTATATTTACAGACTTTGGCACTGATTAACCACTGTAAATCCGTTTTGTTATCGCTTGAAGAATAAATAATCGTGTTGCCCAACTGTTTTCTGTTGTTCTGCGTCGATTACAGTGCATACCGTCCCGCGTATTAAGCTTACTCTTCGGAAACTGGCAATAGGTCCAGGATCTCTGCGATCTGGATATTTGATAGTAGTCTTTCGACTTAAAATTCCTAATAATGTCCATGCCATACTTGTCTGAATGTACTTGGCACAGTCCAGTTTCGATATCATACTTTTTCTCTGTCATCCATGCACTATCATTTTTAATATGACTCAATGTACAAATGTTGCATGTGATCAAAATTGTTCAAATAATTATACTGACTACATAATATTTGTTCATGCAAAGAATTTATCAAGGTTGATTGTATGCAAAAACCATAACTAGTTAGTTACTTTATTTTTTTGCTTAACGGAAACCCAGTTAAATGTTTCAGATGTTAATTTATCTCGCAGCATGTCTAAGTCATTGGATAACCTAAATTTCCGTCCACCATACTACATCTACCTTTTTCCGTTCCATGTAGTTTTAATCTTCCAATGATATCTCTGAGTCACAAGACGGCCTCATGAAATTTTTTAATTGGCTTCCAATTTACTTTTGTGCACTTTAACAAGATGAAGGAAAAATATCGTAGATGGTTTAGTCGTGTTTTACAGAGAATAATAATAAAGCTTTATTTCTGACAATATGCGAAGGATTTTCAGCGTATTTAGTTCCAAAATACTTTTTTCTTCATACTAGATTTACATGTAGAGTAATAATCTGAGGTATATTTTCATTTCGTTGAAGAATTGCACAGCGTTTAATTGGAAGCAAGTTATATCAGCGCATAATTTCATATGAAGGTCATTTAATATAACTGGACGATTAAAACAATGATAAATCCAGATGATTTAAGCTGACCACCTATACGACATACTTGGTGATTCTATACGAGGTGTAGACATTTTGCGAGAAATAATACTGAGAATTATGTATTTTGTCTAAACATAATTTCCAGAATAGAGCTGATATTATTATTACCAAATTTATTCACCAACTGAACACTTTCATATACAACCAGTTGGATTTATAGGTAAAAGTAGCATTGAGCTTTTGAATTATCATCTTTTGGCATTATTGTAGTTTAGTAATGTTTTTATTATAATTCTTTTATAAATTTAATGGACTCTTAAGGCAATTACTTTCCTTTATGAATTTCGACAAACCGATAGCAAAACTTAGTTTATCTGAAATGTGTAGTGCGTTTGCGCAACATATTTCGGACATTCTGATCACGCATGTACTTATCATGTTCATTTATACAGAAGGGAAGAGAGTTTTTATAGTCAAGGCTTAAACCTGTCTTATATGTCCAAAAATTGTTTGTCATTATTTTAAACCTGCCTTGGTAGTCCAAATTATTCAATGATATTTTCACCCTATCCCTTCTTGTTTCTATTTATCCCACACCCTTACGTCATCCATCTTCCTGCCATTTATTTATGACCTTGACCTGTGTTGTAGTAATCTATGCTCTCTTCCCTCCTATATAAATGGGTATGACAGTTACGTGTATGATCAGAATATCCAAAACGTGTTGCTTAAATACACTACGTATTTTAGATAAACTACGTCTATATGGATTCACTTTTTCAACTTGACTGTCTGTAATACCATTCTTTTTGCATGGTAGCCTAAAATAAGGCAAGACACCTAAATTCACTACATACCAATCAATTTCATCTATTTTCCTCCAGATTATTTGACTGGGTGGTGATCGTAACGCACAAAGATTTGAAGAAAAAAAATTCAATTAATAATCTTTTTAACATCTGAATTAATTGCATTTTATTGTTAAATATTCATTAGTTTTACGTAAAAGTTGATGTTCTAATTCTAAGAAAAGATGATATTACGTAATGAGCCAAATATGACTTTATTATGAATTCAACAAATTGAAAAGCTAAAAAAGAGAACAGATTTTGTTTTAAGAGCCCAAAATAATAAAAATAGTTTATACAGATAGTTGAAACCAATTTGTATTAAGAAGCCGATGACATAAAGTCACCTCTCTCTTTCTCCTTAGAGAATTGATTGAAATGTAATTTGTTTCACTACTGTTGGCTTGGCGTTCGTTATTTTGTATTTGTAGGTGTTACATCGAAAGTTTAAATTCTAAATCTTTCCAATAGTAGAGTAGTAAAAAAGATCATATGTTAAAGAAACGTCTTGAAATAAAAGAGAAGATTTGTAGTTCAGGTGAATGATTTTGAATTAGTTGTGTTCTCTGAGCTGGTCGATTTAGTTGCGAAGCTTTTGTAGTCCTTCTGGACATCATTGTTGAAATAGATATAGCATACAAGCCAGTCAGCACAATATTCATTCATTCATTCGATATTGTGTGAACGGAAAGATCCAACATTTACAAAATAAACTGCATGAACTGTAACAGACATCACATCGGTCAAAGTGGGCGCCCTCTTGGAATCCGAATCCAAGAATACAAATAAGCCGTAAAAAGGCATGATACATATTCTTTCATATCAATGCATGTAGATAATTATGGACACCGATTTGATTGGGATAATGTAAAATTTTAAATAGATGAAACACTAAAAGTGCCAAAGAATTTCTAGAAGCCTGGTACTCATGTGAATCAGCGATTAACAAACATATTAATACAGACGAAATTTACCAGCTAATAAAAAGTAAATCACATGAGAAGAAAGTTCAAACTCCAAGTCAATAAAAATGACTAAAAGAGACGTTAATGAACAATCACGACAATGGTTGCCAGGGGATCCGATTATATCATTCATGGAGAATTCAAATAAGTTCATTTTATACTAAAATCTGCGCTGAAGATGTTGTCCAGAAGGATGACGAAAGCTTTCCAACTAAATCGACCAGCTCAAAGAACACGACTAATTAAAAAAAAACGTCTTCTTATACTTTTTATCCTCAAAAATTAATGTGGGATAAAAAAATAGTTCCTAGAATGAGGAAAATTAACATCACTAAAAAATTTAAGGAAATCCATTTTGTCAAATGCTACAAACTAGTTACTTTCAAAACATCAAATCTTTAAATAAAAGTTTCTGTAGAAATTATTGTGAGGCTTTATGACACTTTAGTATTTGCTATTTACAGCACGTATATATAAGTCCTGGTTCTAATTGAGTCATATTCTTGTACAGCAGACTGAATACATTTTTACAAAAAATATTTATTATATCAAAGAACTTAAGCTGTTTGCATAAGAAATCATATACACTTATGCAAAAAGCAATTGGTCCTGCTTTTCATGAATTGACGTGTAACACAAACAGTAACTTTCCCTAGACTCTAAGCATTTTGAATAAATCCAATCTATAATTCTTAAAAGTTTCAAAGAATTTAGTTGTCAGAATAATTCGGTCGGTTTTCGACATAGAACTTTGCACATATGTGCGCCACTTCAAGTCCCCACACTCCATGTAGCACACAAAGCAAGAGAAGAAAGTAGGAGAAATGCATATTAGAGACAGTAAACAGAGGTGTGAGACAAAGGAATAGTAGTAACGAAGAAGAATATAGTTTCATTGAAAATCATATGTCACAAAGAGTGGATGCATCTGCGCCACTGAGAACGATTTTGAGCCATGTCACCGATTGTTTCCAACCATTGGTTTTTACTATCCCGAGGACCCCAACCAGGAAGTCTACACCTTCCTACGTGGCTTAGACTAACTGTTGTAGATTTCAGTGACTAGTGAGACCATGTTTTCGTTTGACCGCCGTTAGCTCTTTTCCAGCCTGACCCTATGTCAGTCAGCTAACACTTCCCGTCAAGGAAGGCGATGGCTAGGCTGGATATGCGTAACACATGTCCCAACCATCTCAGTCTATTTAGCTTCACAGCCTCGTCGATTGATTTCCCCTCCCACCTACCTAGCACTCGACCGAAGCCTAACCTCAGTATTGCTCACTTTATTATACCACTACACGCGGGAGATAGAACGCAGACACCTATGATCGAACACAGCTAGTCTTTTCATGTCTTCCGCTCTACATGGCCAGGTCTCACAGCCATAAAGGAGGACGGAGCGGACTATTGAGCAGTACACACGCCCTTTGGTTGATAGTCGGATATCGCGTCTACGCCAGAGACGGCGTAAACTGGCATATGCGAAACGTCAGAATAATTAGTTTACCAAATAAAACAATGTTCTACACCACAAAGTAATGATAAACTCCATTTCCTGGTAGCAATGCAAAACTACAGACTAGTATGAGAAGCTATCAACTGTTGATTTGGAGGACAATTCAGCCTTTGGAACCCGATTCAGTGGCTCATGAGTTCCAACCCCTGCCAATTTTTGAATTTATCACTAGTCACATCCATGAAAACAAACTTGCTAATGATTCTGATGTTCACTAGAGACTGGCTGTATACAAGAAGTTATCGGGAATTAAAGTGAGAAGTCGTGACCAGAGGGTACTACCAAGTCAGACAAGAAAAGTTGCGCGCCTATCATATTGGTTGGTGATTGCGCTATATAGATATATATAATCTCGAAAAGAAAGAAGTTGGAATTCATGCAACATTGAACCGGTGTCCCTGATGCCTAATGGTCTAAGAGCTCGCCTTGTAACCGGAAAGTTCTAGCTTTGAACCCCAGTGGGTGCGTACTGCTGGAGAGTCCCAAAACTACGACGAAACAACTGTCCAGTGCTCCTAGATTTGGTTATGTTATCGGATAAGTGTTAGCAATATAGGTTCAGAGAAATAAAAAATTGTTTTTGTACACACACAGAAGGATTGAGGAATAATTGTTTTAAATTATTGATTTTTTGTCGTTGACTTCTTTCTACAATTTGATAAACGAGCATTGGTTTTATTAAACCCTTTGCATAACTGTTTTTCATTAACAGAAATCTATACATGTTCATTGTTTAAACTTTACTTTCCCCATTCATTTTTTTCAGATGTAGCGGATACTTTCCTTACTGTCAACACCCATCATTCAAACAATTTCGTTTACACCTGATGTACTATAATACTTACATTCTGTTTCCAATTGGAAATATTTCTGAGACTGCTAGTGTCTGGTTCACTTTAGTCTTATCAATAGAACGCTATTTAACTATGAGTCAATTGGGTTCAGTTTATCAGAAGAAACTCAGTGCTCGTTCACCTAATTTATCCCCTGTCAACCAAGAAGAAGAAACACTATACAGTTTAGGGAATATAGATCAAGAAACTCAGAAGACCTTTAAAGAAAGAAACACACGCGAAGAGTCAGACGACAACTTAAGAGAACAACAACACAATTCAATGAAGACATGGTGTATTAGACTGTCTACCCATTGTCAACTATATAAACCAACCTGTTATTCCAGAAAGTGCACGCTTTGTACATGTGAACCAAAGAAATTTCAGATCCTACAAAAATTATCTTATTTTAAGTTTTGTAAATCGATAAAAATGTGTTCTTTAGCCAAATGTATCCAATTTTGTACCTGCAGAAATTGTCATTCAAAATATTCAATAGTTTTGATAGCTATTTTCAGTATCCTATTCAATTTGCCTCTATTTTTTGTTCAGAAAGTTAACAGTGGAATAGTACCTACTAAACATTCCACTGAACAAATGAATAATACTGCTGAGACCAATGAATGGATGCATACTACATCTAAGCATATGAGTAATTTAACAACATCAGACTATCAAAATAACCAAAGTCAAACACAAGTTTACATTGGTCTCACAGAATTTGGAAGTTCAGAGTTTTACAAAATCTTTTCATGGATACGTATTATGCTAGTACAAGTTTTACCTTTATTATTTTTATGTCTGGTGAATTTCTGCCTATTCCGGTTCATACATATAGCAAATAGACGTCGACAAAAATATTTACTACCAAAAGGTTTAAATAAGAAATCACGACGTTTTGAACTGAACAAAATAAACTTACATTGTCCAAAAGCGAATGGTGGTTCTAGTGCTAGATGGCAAGCAGCACAGCGTAAATTAACAATTTTACTTATTGTTATTGTCGGTTTATTTATAGCCGGACAAATACCTCAAGGATTTGCCTATATCACTATTTTTGAAGCATTTACTAGTCATTTCGGTAGTGTATGTAAAAGATGGCGTTGTTGTCAACCTTACTTAATTTATCGTTCAATATCACATATGCTAGGCTTATTTACCTATGCTATCAACTTTTTTGTTTATCTTACACTGAATAAACATTTTAAACAACAATTAAAAATTTGGTTTCTAACATTATTTCCTAGTAGAAACCAATTACAAAAGAAGTATGCATCAAAACAAACTAAACCATCATATTATTCATATAATCAGTCGAAATCAGATGGTTCATTTGCTAGTCAACATAAGTGTAATAATAATACAAGACCTTATTATAATAATAGACATGATAATATATGGAAAAAATTTATTAATTTAAGAAGACGTTCATCTATATTATATTATGATAATAAAAATAAAATAATATCGATTGAAAATACAGACTTTCCATCTGAAGCTGTTTCTGCACCTGTCGACTTATACTCCAGTTCAAAATTAAGACGTAAAGTAGATTTTATTCAGATAGACGAAATGAATTCAACTGAAATGCCAAAAGGCACTGTTTATAATCCATATAATTTCAATACTAAAGTAAACTCGATTCAAACACCAGAATCTCTCCTATCAAGTAACCAGCCAATAACAACATTAGCCGATGATACATTGAAACATTTAATCATCAATAATCCATGTTATACAAATCCTCAACAACAACAACAACGACAGTCTACAGTTTCAAGAGGAAATGATACTAACTACCAATCATTTGTTTCACTACAACCAACAACTAAATGTCATACAGAGATAAAATATGGTACAAATCATCCATTATTACTATATAAAACATTTCGTGCTTATTATTCTCATGATTCTGTTATGAAAAAATGGACATTTGAATTGAATTGTATAAATAATCAACAAGTCGTTCATGATATTCATTCAAATACAACAGCTCCACCCTCATCATCCTCTTCATCATCTACATCATCGTCTTCGTCAATAACACAAAACTATTCTATTACCTCTAATAGTAATATAAGGAATTTAGATCACTTTCAGCAAGAACAGACAAATCAGAAACAATTAAAGGATACTATATTGAATAATACAAATAATACACATTGTGTGAATTTGCTAATGATGCAAAATAGTAATAATAATAGTAATAACAATAATGATCATACTACCTATGATAGTAATAACATAAAAGAAAATTCGAAAATTTGTAGACATTCAATAGTCAATTCAGATTCTCAAGGTGTAGGTTTATCCTTTTCACATATTTACTGTCCACTTGTGTATAGAGAAAGTGATTTTGATGTTATCTCAGTAGACGATAGTGTTGAACAACATGAAACTGAGTATAATTCATTCTTGTAAAAAAAAATCTATATTCGAAAAAAATCACACAGATGATAAACTATGCATGAAGTTCAAAGTACCAGTGAAACATATCTCATGAAGACACAAGTTCTAATTATATTTAAACTAAGAAAATGGTGTCGATTGCACTAAACAACACATTGACAACAGATAAGGCTAGCTCAGGAAAGACAATGATTAAACAATTCACAGTGAATACAGCATTTTATACACTCAATATTTTGTATTATTATTATTATTATTATTCAGCATTTCAATACCCCATTCTCTCTTTCACTGAAGAACACACGCTACATTATATTATGCTGTTCGTAGTGTATACTCACCCAATACAAATTATTCGTGTATTCCATTTTACAAAACAAAAAAAAACTACAGAAGTATTATTTTTTCGATAAATGTATATAAAAAGTGCATTTATATTAAAAGGGAATATATCGAGTATGCATTTGCTAACTAGCAATTTTATTTTTCAACGAAAAAATATGTATACCAAAAAATGTGAATAAAGAAAAATACAAAAAATATTAACTGATTAAAAATGCCCATTAAAATTTTCAAAAGAATAGACACGGAACAAAGAGTACTCTTTTCGATAAATTCATCATCAGGTTCTACAATTATATATACATTATAATGAATGAATGAATTGGTCTTATAAACGACAATAATGTTGTTGAAATAACATCGAATCGATAATAATGATAAATTACAGCTGAGCAGCATCAACATAAAATAAACTGAATGTCCGAAGAATTAGGAAAGGTAATAGTACAAATTCATGAGTTCACAGTCCCTACTGAGGGCCAGGGCAGTAGTAGGGGCTGGACTTGTTTCTTTTGGACATAGAGCACTGGTTGTTTGAGGCGAATTGCAATAGCCTCTGCTGTTTGAAGCATGTGGTGCTTCGACGATTTTGGTAATTTGTTAGGCACCCGGTATATTATATTATATTGCCAACAAAATATTTCTATATTTTATGATAAAACAGAGGATTAATACATTTAGCTGTATATCTAAGAAAAAATAGGCCAAGAAATAGTCAAACATTTCTTATGCATAGGGATACGGAATATATGCTTTCTATAATTCCACGGAAGCACCTTAGTATTTCCTTATAATTTAATCGAATGCTTCGCATTTCAAGATGTCAGCAATATACCACTCACAAAATTTTTTCAGGAGCACATGATGCTCAGTCTCCACGTTAAAAATCTCTAGCGCAGTCGTTACGAACATTTTGGGGCATTCACTTCTTGTTATATCTTGGTATCAATATCGTTGTCCCACTGTACCTATCTCTGGAGTTGCCTGTCTTTAAAGTGGTCCTGTTGGACTCCTCTTCTGCTGGTATAAACAGGACCAAATCTCTTCGCGAAACTGGTCCGCCTCCAATAGTACACTTTCTTTCTCTACTAATAAACTTGACCACCAGACTCAAACGTTGTGCATTTCCCCGTTTTTCTCTGGCGAAATTTCGCAGCATCAACCTTCCACTTTTGATTCACACTTCTGAATGCTTCTTTGAGCTCTGTTTCTTCATCCTATAACACTGACGACGAGATCAGGACTTATTTTGTATTGGAATTATATATCAACTAAAACAGCGACTTATTTGTTATCCGATTAATCGATGCTAGTAAGCTAATAATAACAGCGACCACCTACGAATTTCCAGAAAGAAACTTTTTTGGTTCAGGATATTTCTTTCCTGTAAAATCATTAGTCTGGAAGTCATTGATGCCGTTCTCCTCCTGCTGAAACCCAGTTCCTCCAGGCCACTTTCAGTATGTGGAGCCGGAACTGTAAGTCAGGTCATAAAAAACAATTAATTCCTGCTTCATTCACAATATTAGTTCACAGGTTACGAGTTCCTACTTTATCTATTTACTCATTTATATGAATTGATCACCAGTCGCCATTTCGAAAGAAAATAAGCAAACAGATCATAAATCAAGAAACCAAACTACTCAAATCGATCAAAAACTGCGGATACATGCAAAGACCACCACATATTGATTAACACTATCCAAAGTGCAACACCCGCAGATACGCATATTAACCAATAGAATGATTTCACAGGCTCTCTCATCACGTAACTCAAACAGAACTTCAAAAAACCACAAGGAAACATATTAAATCACATAAAACCATTTAGGAAACAAAACCACCGTTGAAATTCTTCTCACATAGCGTCCTTAACACATCTGTAGACTAAGACGCGACAAAAGAAAGCATACGCGAAAACTCGCACAAATAATTTAGAGCGGCCAGAAAGTATCTCAAAATAAGCATCCGTCGCAATTATATATTTACACCAATTATTCAGCCGTAGTGAAGCATAGGAAAAGTTTAAACAAAACGTTGTGATGACCATTCATTTTCCAGAGGGCTACGAAGTCCAGACTCTTGAAAACACAAGACAAATGTTCTCAGTGTGTGACCACTGTCAGTCCCCGATATCAGCCTCACAAGACAAGTCACAAATCCCATTCATCTCCTAACTATAACACTAAACTATGACTCAAATCTATGGATACGCTAAACACAGTTAGTTCACAACCACCTGAAGCAGAAGCAAACCTCAACACAAAACACGATACGTGAACACCAACCTTCACCAATCAACTCATTCTGCATATATTCATCTCCCTCTCTCTCCCCCCACCCCTATCATCTCCAACCAGTGACTCCCACAACCACACATTCACATCGTACACAATATAGTAGTAATACTTCCCGAAACAATACAAACAGGAAGATTCAACAGAAAGGCAAACAGACAAACAACCAATGCATACGCGTTGTGTAAGAACAGAGCGGACTCGAAGATGCGAATCAAACTCGTACCCGCCTCTCAAACACAATGAAACAACAGTGCACCAGAAAACACCACTCACTCATCCACACAATTCTATAAACCTTCCACCACCATACGAAACCTACTACAGTTAAATGCACCAAGCAAATAAACTGAATATGCAACTGAAACACCACCAACACCGACAAACAATCATCAACAACTTCGACGAACAGATCGGTAATAACCTTCACAACAAACAATCAACTCACCACACTCATAAGCCGAAATTGTCAGTCCACGAAGACAATCAACTAGCCACGTCCTAACTTTCACTTCGAACAAAAACATTCACTTACATGGTATCTACATATCAATTCCTTACTGATCAGTGCAGTCTGAAACAGCAGTCTTCAACTCATAACCCACAATCACTCCGCTCAAAAACCAATGTACGTCAAACACCCTTCCATCAAATTAAATCATAGCAGATGTTTGAACAGAACGTTGTGATGACCATTCATTTTCCAGAGGGCTACGAAGTCCAGACTCTTGAAAACACAAGACAAATGTTCTCAGTGTGTGACCACTGTCAGTCCCCGATATCAGCCTCACAAGACAAGTCACAAATCCCATTCATCTCCTAACTATAACACTAAACTATGACTCAAATCTATGGATACGCTAAACACAGTTAGTTCACAACCACCTGAAGCAGAAGCAAACCTCAACACAAAACACGATACGTGAACACCAACCTTCACCAATCACTTCACAACTGGCATCTTCGGCGACCAACACTACATTCTTCAACACAAAAGTAACACATTAACTTCGACTAAAACACAGTCTTCAATGTAGGAGCTATTTGAGAGACTAGCAAGAAAAACATGTCTCTGTAAAACCACTCCTTTTCATGTAGCATCCTTACGACACCTGATCACTATCAGGCTCTAACAGAATGCATACGCGCAAAACTCCAAACAATGATCTAACGCGGCCTACCCGCATCTCAAAATAACCATCCATCGCCATCAATCACATGTTTACACTGTATATCCAGTCGTAGTGAAGCATAAACACTGTTTAGTTAGTTGCTCACACCCTTCATTTACTCCTCCCTAAGAATCGCTCCTGTCTAAACTAAGGTGAAATTACTCAGAATTACTCTAATCACCAACAACACTCGGCTATACAAGTAACAAAACTATATCCTAGAAAACACCTCTCAACTATTATCTAGTAGTACAATATCCCCAATCCTATTCTTTTCACCTACACCACATACACTGCCCCAGGACAGACAAACAAGAAAACACCTCGACAACACTAGGCAATTATCGTGAACACTGCAGTCCACAAGGATTGCAGTGAGACAGAAAATAGTCACTTCGTCGAGCATTATCACTCCAGCTGCCCTACATCGGATCAAGCTCGACAAATACTTCAACATCAAAGGCACAAATCCCTCAAATACGTCATGATACAACTATCTGTTATATACTTTGGAAAACGTTTTATCAATTACTGTAGTGGCTTACCGTGCGCGCATCAGGATAACCAGGATCTAGGCCCAAACTACAGGGTTAGAACCATCACTTTTCGGCAATCCTGCTGCAGCCATCTGATCCACTCACCGCACAAACACCCACCAGTCTGAACAACCTCACTTGTCAACGCCAAGTACTCGCAAGCAGACAGCATGCAAATCTTCCCCACTATTTTGAATTGACTGTCTCGGACACCCTGTGGATCGACCGCTAAACCTACACCGACTAGTCGCCAGAACATACAGCAAGCAGCAGCAGTTAACAGCTACAGCGCCACGGTTCAACCTGTTAGTCACACCCTCAGGCCACCAGTCTGACGAAAGAGCTTCAACTGCACACCAACCAAAACTATGTCTCCAGATTAACAGCTACACGCCGAGTCACGAAATCTGCAAACAGCTAACAACTGGAAACTGTCTCCCCCCGACACTGCAAATATCAGCAACCTCCCCGCGCACCAGCACAGTACACAGGCAATCCATAACGGCAGGATACCAACTGATAAGAAAAGCAAAAGACTGAGTTAAATAATAAATTCATGATGTATGCATACAAACCGATAAAAACAATGAACAATTCAAGTAAGCAGAAGTCAACGACGTTCTCTTGACAGGGACCGACTATAGCGTCGAGGAGAGGAGGGAAGACGGTATCGATCATTCATCCTACGTGGGGACCGTCTCTCACGACCTGACGAAAAAGAACGAGAACGACGTCCATTTCGTCGCGGAGTAACCGATCGTCTGAAAAGTTAAAAATGAACTCATTTGCGAGAATGCATCCAGAGATTTATTGGTGTAAGTTAAACGAGGCATGCAAGCGATACCAATTTCACATGTAAACCAAACAAAATACACTAAATCATAAAACACCAGTGCAATAACAGCTGTCTTCACACTAACTAACAATTAGGCTACAAGAACCATACAGTCAATACACAGATTACACCCACTTTCCAAACATATCTATGCATAGCTACGCAGAAATAACTAACTACTTCTATTCTGCCTTCCATGACCTAAGCTAGGAGACGTCCATAAACCCTCAAAATAACATCTTCCTCTCAATTACTTCATCCCCGTCACGCCAACAACTAATCAATCCCTCCTCTCACAGGAAATACATCCCAATACGCATTACTCACTCTCTCAAAGCTCACCTACGCTCTCGAACGTAAATCAACTAATAACTAACGCATGGTCGAATCCAACTCCCAGCATCGTCTATCACATTATGCGCACAGAAACAAACTCACCCTAACAATTCGACTGACACAAATAAAAACATGAACAATCGAAATGTGCAGATGGTACTAAAGGCACGCAAGTGCCACTAGCGACCACCTCCTATCACTTCAATTTAGCATTTTTCGGAGACCAGAAACAACGTTCTGGCACTATGGAAATGCACTGAACTCGATTACACAGTTTACAACTTTGTCGGAGCTATCCATACTCGGCAACAACATTGCCAATGATATCACTCCTTTTAATATCGCATTCCAAATACACCCGACAACAGCCGTGCTCTAGCGGAATGCACGAGAACAGCAGACATCCTATGACAACTTGTGAGAGCAATTTTAACAGGATGCTTCGCATACCGCCAGTGATTGCTCCCTTTACTATCGCATCTTTGAAACATTAGACTTGTCAATCAAGCCTTCTCAGATGCATCACACCAAGCTTAAGCTTAAGCTTAAGCTTAGGCTAAAACCCCAGGAAAATCCAATATCACTCGAACGCACAACCACTCAACGGCAGTTATCATCATCAACAACAAGACCGCTTCCTGCTCTAACATCAAGCCTGTGACAGCTTAGAAACCATCTCAGACACAAACACACATCAAGCCATACATTGGAAATGCATTCACCATCACCGTCACTCCACACATTTCAACAAATATCATATCGTTCTTCTCTCACACTAATTAGCTATATCATTCTGCATATATTCATCTCCCTCTCTCTCCCCCCACCCCTATCATCTCCAACCAGTGACTCCCACAACCACACATTCACATCGTACACAATATAGTAGTAATACTTCCCGAAACAATACAAACAGGAAGATTCAACAGAAAGGCAAACAGACAAACAACCAATGCATACGCGTTGTGTAAGAACAGAGCGGACTCGAAGATGCGAATCAAACTCGTACCCGCCTCTCAAACACAATGAAACAACAGTGCACCAGAAAACACCACTCACTCATCCACACAATTCTATAAACCTTCCACCACCATACGAAACCTACTACAGTTAAATGCACCAAGCAAATAAACTGAATATGCAACTGAAACACCACCAACACCGACAAACAATCATCAACAACTTCGACGAACAGATCGGTAATAACCTTCACAACAAACAATCAACTCACCACACTCATAAGCCGAAATTGTCAGTCCACGAAGACAATCAACTAGCCACGTCCTAACTTTCACTTCGAACAAAAACATTCACTTACATGGTATCTACATATCAATTCCTTACTGATCAGTGCAGTCTGAAACAGCAGTCTTCAACTCATAACCCACAATCACTCCGCTCAAAAACCAATGTATGTCAAACACCCTTCCATCAAATTAAATCATAGCAGATGTTTGAACAGAACGTTGTGATGACCATTCATTTTGCAGAGGGCTACGAAGTCCAGACTCTTGAAAACACAAGACAAATGTTCTCAGTGTGTGACCACTGTCAGTCCCCGATATCAGCCTCACAAGACAAGTCACAAATCCCATTCATCTCCTAACTATAACACTAAACTATGACTCAAATCTATGGATACGCTAAACACAGTTAGTTCACAACCACCTGAAGCAGAAGCAAACCTCAACACAAAACACGATACGTGAACACCAACCTTCACCAATCACTTCACAACTGGCATCTTCGGCGACCAACACTACATTCTTCAACACAAAAGTAACACATTAACTTCGACTAAAACACAGTCTTCAATGTAGGAGCTATTTGAGAGACTAGCAAGAAAAACATGTCTCTGTAAAACCACTCCTTTTCATGTAGCATCCTTACGACACCTGATCACTATCAGGCTCTAACAGAATGCATACGCGCAAAACTCCAAACAATGATCTAACGCGGCCTACCCGCATCTCAAAATAACCATCCATCGCCATCAATCACATGTTTACACTGTATATCCAGTCGTAGTGAAGCATAAACACTGTTTAGTTAGTTGCTCACACCCTTCATTTACTCCTCCCTAAGAATCGCTCCTGTCTAAACTAAGGTGAAATTACTCAGAATTACTCTAATCACCAACAACACTCGGCTATACAAGTAACAAAACTATATCCTAGAAAACACCTCTCAACTATTATCTAGTAGTACAATATCCCCAATCCTATTCTTTTCACCTACACCACATACACTGCCCCAGGACAGACAAACAAGAAAACACCTCGACAACACTAGGCAATTATCGTGAACACTGCAGTCCACAAGGATTGCAGTGAGACAGAAAATAGTCACTTCGTCGAGCATTATCACTCCAGCTGCCCTACATCGGATCAAGCTCGACAAATACTTCAACATCAAAGGCACAAATCCCTCAAATACGTCATGATACAACTATCTGTTATATACTTTGGAAAACGTTTTATCAATTACTGTAGTGGCTTACCGTGCGCGCATCAGGATAACCAGGATCTAGGCCCAAACTACAGGGTTAGAACCATCACTTTTCGGCAATCCTGCTGCAGCCATCTGATCCACTCACCGCACAAACACCCACCAGTCTGAACAACCTCACTTGTCAACGCCAAGTACTCGCAAGCAGACAGCATGCAAATCTTCCCCACTATTTTGAATTGACTGTCTCGGACACCCTGTGGATCGACCGCTAAACCTACACCGACTAGTCGCCAGAACATACAGCAAGCAGCAGCAGTTAACAGCTACAGCGCCACGGTTCAACCTGTTAGTCACACCCTCAGGCCACCAGTCTGACGAAAGAGCTTCAACTGCACACCAACCAAAACTATGTCTCCAGATTAACAGCTACACGCCGAGTCACGAAATCTGCAAACAGCTAACAACTGGAAACTGTCTCCCCCCGACACTGCAAATATCAGCAACCTCCCCGCGCACCAGCACAGTACACAGGCAATCCATAACGGCAGGATACCAACTGATAAGAAAAGCAAAAGACTGAGTTAAATAATAAATTCATGATGTATGCATACAAACCGATAAAAACAATGAACAATTCAAGTAAGCAGAAGTCAACGACGTTCTCTTGACAGGGACCGACTATAGCGTCGAGGAGAGGAGGGAAGACGGTATCGATCATTCATCCTACGTGGGGACCGTCTCTCACGACCTGACGAAAAAGAACGAGAACGACGTCCATTTCGTCGCGGAGTAACCGATCGTCTGAAAAGTTAAAAATGAACTCATTTGCGAGAATGCATCCAGAGATTTATTGGTGTAAGTTAAACGAGGCATGCAAGCGATACCAATTTCACATGTAAACCAAACAAAATACACTAAATCATAAAACACCAGTGCAATAACAGCTGTCTTCACACTAACTAACAATTAGGCTACAAGAACCATACAGTCAATACACAGATTACACCCACTTTCCAAACATATCTATGCATAGCTACGCAGAAATAACTAACTACTTCTATTCTGCCTTCCATGACCTAAGCTAGGAGACGTCCATAAACCCTCAAAATAACATCTTCCTCTCAATTACTTCATCCCCGTCACGCCAACAACTAATCAATCCCTCCTCTCACAGGAAATACATCCCAATACGCATTACTCACTCTCTCAAAGCTCACCTACGCTCTCGAACGTAAATCAACTAATAACTAACGCATGGTCGAATCCAACTCCCAGCATCGTCTATCACATTATGCGCACAGAAACAAACTCACCCTAACAATTCGACTGACACAAATAAAAACATGAACAATCGAAATGTGCAGATGGTACTAAAGGCACGCAAGTGCCACTAGCGACCACCTCCTATCACTTCAATTTAGCATTTTTCGGAGACCAGAAACAACGTTCTGGCACTATGGAAATGCACTGAACTCGATTACACAGTTTACAACTTTGTCGGAGCTATCCATACTCGGCAACAACATTGCCAATGATATCACTCCTTTTAATATCGCATTCCAAATACACCCGACAACAGCCGTGCTCTAGCGGAATGCACGAGAACAGCAGACATCCTATGACAACTTGTGAGAGCAATTTTAACAGGATGCTTCGCATACCGCCAGTGATTGCTCCCTTTACTATCGCATCTTTGAAACATTAGACTTGTCAATCAAGCCTTCTCAGATGCATCACACCAAGCTTAAGCTTAAGCTTAAGCTTAGGCTAAAACCCCAGGAAAATCCAATATCACTCGAACGCACAACCACTCAACGGCAGTTATCATCATCAACAACAAGACCGCTTCCTGCTCTAACATCAAGCCTGTGACAGCTTAGAAACCATCTCAGACACAAACACACATCAAGCCATACATTGGAAATGCATTCACCATCACCGTCACTCCACACATTTCAACAAATATCATATCGTTCTTCTCTCACACTAATTAGCTATATCATTCTGCATATATTCATCTCCCTCTCTCTCCCCCCACCCCTATCATCTCCAACCAGTGACTCCCACAACCACACATTCACATCGTACACAATATAGTAGTAATACTTCCCGAAACAATACAAACAGGAAGATTCAACAGAAAGGCAAACAGACAAACAACCAATGCATACGCGTTGTGTAAGAACAGAGCGGACTCGAAGATGCGAATCAAACTCGTACCCGCCTCTCAAACACAATGAAACAACAGTGCACCAGAAAACACCACTCACTCATCCACACAATTCTATAAACCTTCCACCACCATACGAAACCTACTACAGTTAAATGCACCAAGCAAATAAACTGAATATGCAACTGAAACACCACCAACACCGACAAACAATCATCAACAACTTCGACGAACAGATCGGTAATAACCTTCACAACAAACAATCAACTCACCACACTCATAAGCCGAAATTGTCAGTCCACGAAGACAATCAACTAGCCACGTCCTAACTTTCACTTCGAACAAAAACATTCACTTACATGGTATCTACATATCAATTCCTTACTGATCAGTGCAGTCTGAAACAGCAGTCTTCAACTCATAACCCACAATCACTCCGCTCAAAAACCAATGTATGTCAAACACCCTTCCATCAAATTAAATCATAGCAGATGTTTGAACAGAACGTTGTGATGACCATTCATTTTGCAGAGGGCTACGAAGTCCAGACTCTTGAAAACACAAGACAAATGTTCTCAGTGTGTGACCACTGTCAGTCTCCGATATCAGCCTCACAAGACAAGTCACAAATCCCATTCATCTCCTAACTATAACACTAAACTATGACTCAAATCTATGGATACGCTAAACACAGTTAGTTCACAACCACCTGAAGCAGAAGCAAACCTCAACACAAAACACAACACGTGAACACCAACCTTCACCAATCACTTCACAACTGGCATCTTCGGCGACCAACACTACATTCTTCAACACAAAAGTAACACATTAACTTCGACTAAAACACAGTCTTCAATGTAGGAGCTATTTGAGAGACTAGCAAGAAAAACATGTCTCTGTAAAACCACTCCTTTTCATGTAGCATCCTTACGACACCTGATCACTATCAGGCTCTAACAGAATGCATACGCGCAAAACTCCAAACAATGATCTAACGCGGCCTACCCGCATCTCAAAATAACCATCCATCGCCATCAATCACATGTTTACACTGTATATCCAGTCGTAGTGAAGCATAAACACTGTTTAGTTAGTTGCTCACACCCTTCATTTACTCCTCCCTAAGAATCGCTCCTGTCTAAACTAAGGTGAAATTACTCAGAATTACTCTAATCACCAACAACACTCGGCTATACAAGTAACAAAACTATATCCTAGAAAACACCTCTCAACTATTATCTAGTAGTACAATATCCCCAATCCTATTCTTTTCACCTACACCACATACACTGCCCCAGGACAGACAAACAAGAAAACACCTCGACAACACTAGGCAATTATCGTGAACACTGCAGTCCACAAGGATTGCAGTGAGACAGAAAATAGTCACTTCGTCGAGCATTATCACTCCAGCTGCCCTACATCGGATCAAGCTCGACAAATACTTCAACATCAAAGGCACAAATCCCTCAAATACGTCATGATACAACTATCTGTTATATACTTTGGAAAACGTTTTATCAATTACTGTAGTGGCTTACCGTGCGCGCATCAGGATAACCAGGATCTAGGCCCAAACTACAGGGTTAGAACCATCACTTTTCGGCAATCCTGCTGCAGCCATCTGATCCACTCACCGCACAAACACCCACCAGTCTGAACAACCTCACTTGTCAACGCCAAGTACTCGCAAGCAGACAGCATGCAAATCTTCCCCACTATTTTGAATTGACTGTCTCGGACACCCTGTGGATCGACCGCTAAACCTACACCGACTAGTCGCCAGAACATACAGCAAGCAGCAGCAGTTAACAGCTACAGCGCCACGGTTCAACCTGTTAGTCACACCCTCAGGCCACCAGTCTGACGAAAGAGCTTCAACTGCACACCAACCAAAACTATGTCTCCAGATTAACAGCTACACGCCGAGTCACGAAATCTGCAAACAGCTAACAACTGGAAACTGTCTCCCCCCGACACTGCAAATATCAGCAACCTCCCCGCGCACCAGCACAGTACACAGGCAATCCATAACGGCAGGATACCAACTGATAAGAAAAGCAAAAGACTGAGTTAAATAATAAATTCATGATGTATGCATACAAACCGATAAAAACAATGAACAATTCAAGTAAGCAGAAGTCAACGACGTTCTCTTGACAGGGACCGACTATAGCGTCGAGGAGAGGAGGGAAGACGGTATCGATCATTCATCCTACGTGGGGACCGTCTCTCACGACCTGACGAAAAAGAACGAGAACGACGTCCATTTCGTCGCGGAGTAACCGATCGTCTGAAAAGTTAAAAATGAACTCATTTGCGAGAATGCATCCAGAGATTTATTGGTGTAAGTTAAACGAGGCATGCAAGCGATACCAATTTCACATGTAAACCAAACAAAATACACTAAATCATAAAACACCAGTGCAATAACAGCTGTCTTCACACTAACTAACAATTAGGCTACAAGAACCATACAGTCAATACACAGATTACACCCACTTTCCAAACATATCTATGCATAGCTACGCAGAAATAACTAACTACTTCTATTCTGCCTTCCATGACCTAAGCTAGGAGACGTCCATAAACCCTCAAAATAACATCTTCCTCTCAATTACTTCATCCCCGTCACGCCAACAACTAATCAATCCCTCCTCTCACAGGAAATACATCCCAATACGCATTACTCACTCTCTCAAAGCTCACCTACGCTCTCGAACGTAAATCAACTAATAACTAACGCATGGTCGCATCCAACTCCCA